CAACATGAGAGAACGGGCAGGACCCCACATTTACCAGCGGCACTAAGCCCCACGGAGGGCAGCTCAGCCTCGCTCCTGACCCACACGCCCGGCTTTATGTCTGCCTGATCCCAGCGCAGAGAACTCTGGCTAATCTCTCTCCAGCTGGTGACTGTTAAACCGACAGCACAAAGAAAATAGAAAGCACAAGTACATCTAACAGGTGTGAGGAGGAGGAGGAGGAGGAGGAGGAGGGACGCGAGCGGCGTTCACACCCCTGTTTCTTTTTTTAGCAAACACAAGCTGCAATCACAATAATTGCTTGTCATGAAGACAGCGTTTTGGGAAAAAGTGTCACCGTAGCTATTAAGCAAACTGTGCAATTATTTTATTAATTTTTTAAGGAGTGCATAGGCAGTGGAAATTTTGTCTTCGCGTGTGCGTGTTCAAAGGCTTTTTCACGGGGAGAAACTCTGCATCCAAGTTTGGCCCAACAAGGCTCTGAGTGGGCTTTTGTTTGGCCACATCATGGCTCGCAAGAGTTCCTAAAATGTTTCGCCGGCCCACACACAGATGTGTATCTCTCTAAATTCAGCCTTCCGTGGCACATTGGCTGCCAACTGGCTTTGTGTCTGCAAAACAATCTCTCCATCTGATCACTTGGGAGCCGATCTCCCTCGCCACAGGTGACCAGGAGCACAGCCATTCCCAGCCTCCACTGCATGGCACACAAGAGCACGTTAAAATGGTGAAGAACTTGAGCCACAAGCCAGTGGGGCCCATTTCAGGTCTAAGCACATCAGTCAGGCTACTCAGGAATGCCAGAAGCTGCCAGAAGCTGGCCATTTCAGCCCTAGCGCAGCACGGTCTCCTGTGACCAGCAGTGGGTCTCCAGACCTGAGGTCCCGTCACCTGCAACCCGATCCTTTAAACTGAAGCTGCAGTGGACTGGCCCAGCAACTTTCTGCAAGCAAAGCAGGGGCACTGTTTGCTGAGCTTTGCTCCCTCCCTCATGAGGCCTCAGACAAACCCATCCTCTGATACAGGAGGTGATGCATGTATTGATTGATGTACTTATTGCTTATCTATGCCACCCAACAGCCAACCTTCTACTTACAGTACTTACAGGGGCTGCCCCAGGGTTGCTCTAGCCCTCCCTCTGATAAGCACCCTCAGCCATGGGCCATGGGAGGACCCAGCCTGGGGTTCTGCAGTTGCTTTTCCCATCCCTCCAACTGGAAACTTGCAGATTCCCAGTCACGTACCTGCTTATCAACAAAGCAACGTTGGCTAAGGGAAGCATAAGTCCTGTTTTACTTGACTTTTTCCGGGTCGCACGCCTCTTTCCTTTCCCCAGAGCAGGCAAACCCAGAGTGGGAAAGCAGAGGAGTGGCTGGCACCACTGAGAAGCCTCTCCACTGGGGCCGGAGCTGCAGTGTGCTTTCATTTCTGCCTAAATATTCCACTGCAGACTTGAAAGCAGGGCTGAGGACCACAGCTAAAAGTCTCTCTTTCAACTGCATTATTTGCAACTGAAAAGAGGCTCCAAAGAAAGGGACATTCCAAAAAGGCACACAGAAGGCAGACAAAGAAAAGCTGAGCCCACGCACAGGACAAGGGGCCTCATCCTGCATGCAATGTTGCGGGCTCTGAGCCTGAGCCTTCTCTATAGATGGCGTTGTGATGTCATGTGGGAGAACAAAAATCCCAGAAAGTCAAGCATACATTTCAAATAAATCTGTGCTTTGTCTTGATGGTTCAGAGAGTGCAGGGCAGAATAAATATTAAGCTGACGCGTTGTCCATCTCTGGCAGCCACAAAGTTATCACGATGCAGCTCGTTTTGCATGTGTGCCCACGCACAAGCACATCAGTCCTTAACCAGGTCCTACCTGTTATAGGAATCACATAGAAACATTTTTGCCTCAGGTGCACGAGCTTAGTAAATGCAAATTGTAAACTATCACAAGGCAGTATTCCTTTTAAGCCATCCTGAGCCACAGTTTGGAATGCGGACAACTCTTTCCACCAAATTTCTGCTTAGCACAACTGATGCTGCTTTGGTGTTGCCACTTTCAGTGACTCCTCTTGCAAATGCTGTCCCAGAAAGTGCCAAAAGGAAAACCAAAATCCAATTTGGAAGGAAGAAATCGCTTTGCTTGTTGCAGCAAATGTTTGCAATTGCTCACATCCACGGCTTCCATGAAGGAAGGATGCTAAGAAGGATGCCTGGCTAACAGAAAGAGGTTTCATCCCAAGGATGGAACATTAAGTCTGATAACAATCTTATCGCCGTTATTTGTTTTCCGGCCCCAGGCGAAGACCTTTTTATTCAAACATTATTTTAATTGTTAATATTTATTTATTTTATTCTTTGGCCAGGGCGACTTAAATTTTATTGTTATATTGCTAAATTATATTGTTTATATTATGTTATTTATTTATGATTGTGAGCCGCCCCGAGGCTTCAGCGAATGGGGCGGCATAGAAGTCCTCTAAATAAATAAATCTTAACTAAATAAAACAATCTGAAAAGCAGCAGCAAAAGGCTTGCAAACCTGCAAATGTATCACCAGGTGGCTGATCTCCAGAAAGAATTGTCAGGCCAACAAAGGAAGTGGGATTCCCAAACAGATCCAGGCCTATTTGCATGGGGCATAAAGTAAATGAGAACTGCAAGAAGCCAAGAGACAATGGCTTCTCAGATTACCCACAAGCCTTCCGGAACCAGCACAAGGCACACTGCTCAGAAGCTGCACAACCAGGACAAACCCCGGGCTTTGTTCGAGGATCGCTGCTGAAGAGCAGCAGAATGGCCGCCGCATGTCTTTGTTCCGAGCAGCCGCTTCCAGAAGGGTCCCTGCTTGGCCTCCAGCGCTGCAGAGCCCTTCCTTCCTCCCGCTGCCCTCCACAAGATGCTCCACATTCACACGCAGCTCAGCTCTGAGAATTTGGAACACGGCACTTCCCTGGTTCACATGTGCATGTTGCACTTGTGAAGGCACTGCACACACCTGAGTGACACAGAATGTACCCTGGATAAGAAAAACTCCTGGCACATTAACTTGCTGTAGCCAAAACAGGTTTCTAGCCAAAACCAGACCATCTTTCATATCAGTGGTAAACATGCAAGGATGCTCTGGAGCCGACTCCAGGACCTTCCAGAACAAAGAACAAGCAAACAGACAAGATTTTTGAGAGAGACTCTGAGCCTCGGGAATGCTCGTGCCTTCAGTTGCCCAAAACCTGGGTCACCTGGCAATAACAGCCTTTAACTATTAAAAATTGCACTTTTGAACATTCAGCCAGAGCTGTGATTTTGCAGTCTGAACAGAAAACACAGCACAGCAAACCTCTGCCATCATTCCTGAGACAAAAAGGGCTGGATTAGCATAACCTCCCAGCTGATCCTCTGCAGACCAGCCAAGCTGAAGGAAGGGAGAACTCGAATAAGGCCAAGCCTTCAGGAGGAACAAACATTTTAGGTAAGGAAGGGGAGAGCAAGGAAGAAATGAATTTTGCATCTCGTGCTCCACGGACAAAGAAAAGGCGTTACAGTTCAAGTCTGTCACTCCCTAATATGCCAAACACTGGATATGCCATTTGGAATAAAAGTGCAAAAGGGGTGGGGGGAGACACACACGAACTTTCCAAACCCAGAGATTAGGGTGCCAGACTCTCCCCTCCCCAGTCACAGGCAGCATCAACAGAGATGGAGAGCAGTTTTTCTGAAAATAAAAATGCCTAAGGAAATGACAAAACCAGCCTGGCCTTCACACAAGGGCTCACCTAAGCCGTCCCTCTGTAACTTGCAGCCCCTTTGTCTTCCTGCTGGATGGGGTTACCTGCTAAAACCAGGCACCTGGAACCATCCTGGCTGCTGAATGCAAACAGCTGTTTGCAATAAGAGCAAATGCTTTGGGGATACAGTGGGGAAGCCCAGCTCAGAGGCACCATAGCAAGCTTAAAACAGGGAGGAAACTTGCTCAGAATGGTGCAAAATAAAATAGAAATAAAAGGATTTCCTAAATGCCCAGGACTTACAGCCTCCCAGGGCATATCTTCCAACTCACTGTGGTAAAGGAATCTCTGCAAATAAAGCGAACCTGAAAGAAGAGGCAGTTCCCCTACTTTGGCAAGTAGCTGTACATATTTGGGGAAGGAAGGTGGGGTTCCATTTTTTGGTTTAGTCTGAGTACTAGCAAATTAAGCCTGTGTTTAGGAAGAAAAAAGTATTTGGCTAAAAGACAAGCAAAATCACAGTTAAAGCAAAATATATTCCACTTTTTGGACTAATGTCAATTTCATTTCTTATAACCGAGATTAACGCATGGAAAAGGACATCCCGGATCTTATAAGTCACCTATGTACAAACGAGACCTTTGTAACGAGTTGAAATGGCAACAGCGCACGCTCAGTGAGCGCTTGAAGCGCCAGACCAAAATTTCAGAGGAGGATGCCTCGGAAATACAGGGAGGCCCTTAATGCCCCCTGCAACTGAAAGCGGGAAGTTGCGGGTGAAGAGGTCGAGTGTTCCGAGGGAGAGAAGACCCCGTAAGAAGCTCCCTCCCCCATTTTTTTTAAAGGCGACTTTCAGAGTCTTCTCAAAAATTTAATGGGTAGTTTTCGCCGTCTCAGGATTCGACCACACACGTTTCAAGGCTCCAGCCCTATGCGCCGTTTACGCTTTACTCAAAAGCAAGCGTCGCCGGTCTGAATGGGGCTTCCTTTGAGGCTGGCCCGCGCGGCTCCACCGAAACCGATTGTGACCCTTCCCCTATCCGCTGCGTTTAGGATCGGGCCCCCGCCTCTGTGGCGGAGTCCTCCTCGTTTGTGCGCTGCCCGATCCTTCCCTATCCATCTTGCGCCGCTGCCCCCCACCCCCCGCGACCGCCATGGAGAGGCTCGCCGGCCCCTCTCCGGGCAGCGCCGCGCGCAAAGCCGCAGCGCCGCGGGGAGCCCTCCGGCGCGCCGGGCGGAGATGAGGGAGAGGGGAGAGGCGCCAGCCGCGCCCGGCCTCACCTGGTAGGGCGCAGCTTGGCGTCCTTCTTGCTGTCCACGACGGACGGCACGCAGTTGGTGAGCTCGGTCCAGTCGGCGTGCAGCCCGCAGCTCCAGCCGGTGGAGAAGCGCGAGAAGAGCCAGGTCTCGCGCTTGCCCGGCCGCAGGCAGGTGCACTTCTTCTGCCCGGCCTTGCACTCGCACGGCTGCTCGAGCTGGATGTTGCGCACCAGGTGGCGCCCGAAGGTGGTGCCGCCCGTCTTCTGGATGTGCAGGAACACGATCAGGTCGTCGCCGGCGATGTGGAAGTCCACGCGGCGCAGCAGCTCGGCGGCCGAGAAGTTGAGGCGCGGCACGAAGCGCGCCGGGATCTCGTCCTCCGCGCGGTACGGGTCGGCGCCGGCCTGGCGCCCCGCCGCGGCCGCCGCGGCGCGCCCGGCCAGGCGCTCCCGCAGCCGGCACTCGCTGCCCGGGCACACGTACTGCAGCACCAGCCCGCCGAAGAGCAGCAGCATCAGCAGCGCC